CCTGGCCAGTTGGCTCAGTGGATAGAGCGTTGGCCTGCGGACTGAAGGACCAACCCCAGGTTTGATTCCGATCAAGGGGATAGGCCTGGGTTGTGGGCTCGATCTCCAGTAGGGGGCGTGCAGGAGGCAACCAATCAATGATTCTCTCATCATTGATGTTTCTATCTCTCCCTTCCTCTCTGAAATAATAATAAAAAATATGTATTAGAAATAATAATAAAAATATGTATTATACATACATACATACAGTATATATATACACACACACACATATATATATACATATACATACTAGTATATGTTTTTAAAAGAATACAGACAAATTGAAAGGAAAAAGGTTTTACTCTTAATTTGCTTCTTAAATACCCATAGCTACTTACCTGTTGGGCATGGCACAACTTCCCTCATCACTCACACACCGGCACCCCCCACTTCTGGTCCTGCATTGATGGACTCTGTACTGCTTTCTAACCACAGCAGCTGCTGTGCACCCAGCTTCACAGAGGCAGGCCGTGGCAGGAGCGCCGTGCGACCTACGGTTGGAACTTCGCACTGATCTGAACCAGTGGTTTGTGTCGCATCTGACGGCTGTGGAGTATTCCTGTGATTTTCTTGAAAATCTGAAAAACCCTGCAGTGTCCCTGGGTGTTTGCTGTGGCGTTCCAGGTCACTTGGGTGCGTAATTTGGGAACCGCATCGTAATCTCACATCTCGATCGTGGGAGAGAGACTGGAGATGACTTGCCTCCTGGTCTGGGTACTGACCCAGGTCAGTTGTCAGATGGCACGGCTGGGTGCCCAGCCGTGTAAACTCTCCCTCCCTTGTCACAGCACCCGTGTTTATAGCTGCATTTCCCCTGCGGGTCTGACTTCTGTTTACAGCCCAGTCATCCTTGCTGAGTCCAGCATCCTGCATTTTATAGCCAGTTGTTCGGTTCTGGGTGCAAGTGGGTGACACAGTTATTACCGAGTCTCCGGTGTGGAGCTGATGCTTTACATAAACCGTGTTCACCTAAAGCATACAGGGCCAGGGATGCTCAGACAGCATGGCTGAGCGAGTCTAGAACGTGTGGGCTGGTTCCCTGGGAGCTGAATCACACAACAACATACTGTGTGGAAGTGGCAAGTCGGCCAGTCCACGGAGGCCACCAAGTCCCCGCCGCGATGTCGGAACCTCTGTGCCTGAGGACGTCAGAGAGCAGTGAGGCCGACCTTACCTGCATCACCTCTTTCTGTTGCAAGTGACCGATGCTGAAGCCAAGGGCGGAGGGGCTGGTTCTTCTGACAGAACTGGCCCGTGTAATGGGCCCATGTGATCTGGGAGCAGCCTGGTGCTCAGACTTGGGTTTCTACATACCACTTGCAGGAAAAGGAGACAGACCTGCTTGGAGAAGTGGCTGATTCCAGAACCAGAGCAGAGGAACTGGGAGGTGGGCCTGGGACAGCTTGGTTGCAGGAAAGAGAGTCGTGCCCAGAGGACACTGGGCGTGGTTTGAAGGCACCCCCAGGGTCAGATCAAACAGAATGATGGCAATTGATTGTTGTTACACAAGAAAAAAAAGTGCCTGGAGGAGTGGAAAGGCGGAGGCGGAATGAAAGAATTAGAAAAAGCACTCCTTTGCAGTCCCAAAATGGAATAATGGGGGCAACAATTATCAACGAATGCTATAAATCCATGATGAAAAATAATTGGGAAATAGGACAGCCACATGGTTCCAAATTCTCACCCCAGGTTTTTTTTTTGTTTTGGGGTTTTTTTCTTTTTTCTTTTTACTGATATAAAGGGGACATGTACCTTTACAACAGAGAGATGTGGCAGTACCCATCTAAGCCAGCGGTTCTCAACCTTCTGGCCCTTTAAATACAGTTCCTCATGTTGTGACCCAACCAGAAAATTATTTTCGTTGCTACTTCATAACTGTCATGCTGCTACTGTTATGAATCGTCATGTAAATATCTGATATGCAGGACGGTCTTAGGCGACCCCTGTGAAAGGGTCGTTCCACCACCAAAGGGGTCGCGGCCCACAGGTTGAGAACCGCTGGTCTAAACCAAGTGATCAAGCTTAGCATCAGTAATAACGGGACAGCATAACATTCCGTGTGCTCTGATGTGATGAAAGAGAAAGTTCACAATATGAGAGTATTTTTGCCAAAAAGTGTGTAACTCTAGACTTAGCTTTTGGTTCACAGGAAATACATGGGCTGGACGAACAGATTTCAATAATAAGACTGAGTACGTGGATTAAGGGGTGATCAAATTTGAGGAGTGCCTGGAAAAGCGGGAGTGTGCAGGGACCTTTGTCAAACCCAGCAAATATTTGTGGGACGCCGTGGAATCGAACTAGTTAAGGGGTGAGTCAGGCGAAGACTGGGTCTAGACAGAAGGGAAGGCCTGTTTTAAAATCCGCCTCTATGCCTGCATAATGGCCACATTTCCCAGTATATACAGTATTTTACTTTCAGCGGTAATACTTGCTTTCTGAATTCAGGGCCAGAGCGCTGGGTGGAAGTCCCGGTCGTCTTTCCCACACGGGGGACCTCTGACTTGGGTGAGGACTCTTCGGGAGGGGGCGGGTGCAATTATGTTCTGCTCCTGGGTGAGCGATGAGTCGGGCACTTAATTATGTCAAAGGAGCAGTTGCAGAAGCCGCAGGAGAGTCATTATTGTCCGTCTTGGCTGAATGCAAGGCTTTTAATCTGTAAAGAAGCGCTTCTGTGGGGCAGGGCTGCATGCAGAGCCACGCCGTGTCCTGCCGGCCTCCCCGGGATGCTCAGGGTGCACGCAGGCCCTGCGTCCGCCACGGCTGCTGCTTCCCTGTGGCTCTCGCCCCTGCGGCCTCAGCATCGGAGGGGGGTTCCTGTTAAAGGGTAGCAGTCCGTGTCTGAGTTAAGCCCCTGGAAAGACCTGGGTGTTTCAAGTGGAGAGGAAGTAAAATGTGCCTCTTGAGAATTCAAGGACAAACCAAGGTGAGACACAAAACAACCACATAAAACATCCACGGCGCTGAAAGGAGAGAAACGCGGCCGCAGGCATAGCTCAGGGGCCTCTTACGTTCTGGAGGTGGATAATTTTATGTCACGTGCCCCATGGCGGGTGATATTTCCACACAGGACGCGTTCACTGAGGGGTGTGTGCACTTGCTTGGGTGGGTCGGTGTTTTTGACAATGACACTGAGTTCTGTTGGTGTTTGCAGCGTCCCTGGCGTCTGCCTGTCCTCGGCGCCCCAGGGCTGTGATGAGCTGTGTGGGCTCTTGTCCAGGCTCAGCTTTTCCACTTGGCCATTCAAGGGCTTCGTTGGGGTGACTGTCCCTCTCTCGTGCGTGACTAGCTTTCCCCTCTATCACGTTATTCCCATCAAAATAGGGTCATGTCGGAGCAGCTCCATTGTGTTTGAAAAGTCCTCTCTCTCTCTCTCTCTCTCTCTCTCTCTACCTCCTCAGTCCTCTGTTTCCTTTTGCAGCAAATTGCGAGAGTCTGTATTTTATCTTCACCTTTTCTCTTCCCATTGTCTCTTGAACCTGCCCCCATCCGCCCTTCATCCCAATCCCCACATGGCCGCTGCTTTTGTCTCGGTGGACCCGGGGCCTTCACACTGCCGGCTCCGTGCATAGCGCTGGGCCGAATCTTACCTGACCGTCAGCGGCTGCTGACCCAGCTCACCACTCCTCCTTCCTGGCAACACGCGCTTTCCTTGCTTCAGGGCAGAGCTGTTCCCTGCGCTGTTCTCTCTCCCTGGTCGCTCTGCTCACCCTGGTGGGTTCCTCCTCGTCTCGTGGCCTCCTAAGCTTCCCTGGCCCCAGGCCCTCTCCTTTCCTCCCCTCTGCCTTCTCCCTGGTTATGTCAGACAGCATCATGGTGAAAACCACGGCTGTGTATACTCTGTGTGTGGAGTGCACACCTGTACCCCAGACTCCAGACTCGTCCACTTCCTATGGGATGACGAACGGGCATCTCAACTCCAGCGCAGCCAGATGTTAACACCTGCCTCCCCTGGGCCTCTCTCACGCGGATCATTGCAATAGCCTCCTATCAGGTTTGCCCGTCTCCATCCTTGCTCAAGCCCCTTCTACTCTACATGCAAAACAGCCTGAAAGACCCTTTAAAAATAACAGATTGCGTCCCTCCTCTGCTCCCAGGTCTCCTGTCTCAGTCGGAGTACAGACCTGTCCAACAGGGTCCTTCATTCTCGATCCCATTTCCCTCTGCTCACCTTCCCCCTCTGCTGGCCACGCAGCTGCCCGGGCCATGTCGCCCCTTCCTCAGACATCCTCAGTCACTGCTGCCGAGGGCCCTGGGTAGAGGCTCTGTCCTGGATTCTTCGTGGCCTGCGCCTCACCACCTCAGGTCCCTGCTTACCTGTCCTCTTCTCTCTGACACCTTCCTTCTCCAACCATCCCTTTGAATCTCCCCACCACCACCCTGATCAGCCCTCCCAAATCCTCCTCCTGGCTTTATTTTTATTATTTTTATAAAATATATTTTCATTGATTTCAGAGAGGAAGGGAGAGGGAGAGAGAGAGACATCAGTGATGAGAGAGAATCATCAATCAGTTGCCTCTTGCACGCCCCCTGCTGGGGATCAAGCCACAACCCCGGCGGGCTTGTGCCCTTGACCTGGAATTGAACCATGACCTCCTGGTTCAGAGGTTGACACTCAACCACTGAGCTACGTGGGCTGGGCCCGGCTTTATTTTTTTTCTACTGTGCTTAGCACCACATGAAAATAAAAATACTAACGTTTTTGTTGCCGGGTTTGTTCTTGTCTGTCTTCGTAGAACATGAGTTTCACGAGGACAGACATCTCGTCTGCCTTGGTCACAGCATGTCCCCGGGGCCCGGGACGGGTGGCTGCTTGGTAAATCCAGCTGCAGGGGCCATTGAGCAGCAGCCTCAGACTGAGGGCTTCCTCCCGGTCGCTTTTTACGGCGTTCCGGGTGTGACCGAGGACAGGCAGAGTGGGCATGTGCGACATAATAATGGCTGTTTCTGTCCCTCAGTTTCTCTGTTTGAAGAACATACGGACCTTCCTCACGGCCTGTTGCGAGACGTTCGGAATGAGGAAGAGCGAGCTCTTCGAGGCCTTTGACCTGTTCGATGTCCGGGACTTCGGAAAGGTAATGTTGCATTTTATTTTTTCATGTATTTTTTTTTTTAATTGGAGAACCTTTAAGCAAATACTTGTTTCTTATCTTGTTGAAATAGGACATGTGACTTAAGTGGCCTACATGTCTGAGGACCAGTATCGTTTCCCTCCAGCTCTCTCTCTACCCCAAAGACTCCGAATTTTTGGAAGCTGGGGATGTTCTGTGGCCTCTCTCTATCTTGACTTGGGGAGGTGACTTGGGGAGGTGACTTGGGGAGGTGACTTGGAGAGGACACGAATCACTGAGATGTTTGAGATGGTTAAATAACTCCTTCACTAATAGCTATTTCCAAGGACGTTTGTTACAGGGAATGTTTTCATGTTATGGTTCTCGTGTGTGCCCCCAACACTTGTGTGCACGAGGTGACTGGAATCACCCTTTCAGAAGTGATGGCCACTTATTCTGTAGTCTTTGGGCATAAAGTTAAACTTCTTACATGTAAGAAGCCATAAAAGAGACAGGCAATGACGTGAGTCTCCATGTCCCCACCCCCCGCCTCCAGTCCTCCTGTGAGCTCTGAGGCCCCCCTCCCCCCCCAAAGCCCTACATGCATCCCAGCAGGACAGGGGCAACCTGTGCTGGTGTCCCTCTCCCTGTGTGTCCCCCTGGGACTCCGCCTGGCCCCCGGTCACAGGAAAACTCCCCCCACCCAAGGCTCCTCGGCTTGGCTTGCGGCGGGTGCAGGGGGCCCCGGGGGCCTCGGGGGCCTGGCTAGAAAGATCCTCATTGGCGAGTGCCTGCCATGGATCAGCCACTAACACATGTCCCGTCTATTTTTACTGCCCAGGATGAAGCGTTTGACATGTAAATCTCTCTTTTTATAATTTTCTGTTTGAACTCCCACTCTTATTAGAAGTTTGATGTTTCTTCCTCGAAGTATTTTCCGTCCTGAATTATTCAAGCGTCTCCGGGGTGTTTGTGGCCCACGGGGCCCTAATTAGCCTCACGTCCAGCACTGCCTGGCACTCCCTCTCCAGCTGAGGTCTGCCAGCCGGTGCCCTTGAAGATGGGTCCTGCGAGGTTCCTTGGCGGCTCTGACACCCCCCGCCCGCTGCCTTCTGCGCCCGCAGCACTTTATTTAGCCTCCCGCCGGGCCACGTCCCCCCAGCTGTGTGGCGAGTTCTCTTCAGGGGCTCCTGGGTGCTTTCCTGCCAGCGCACTTGGATCAGGGTCTCCTTATTATTAACCGGCTGTCTCCTGCACACCCCCCTGCTGGGGATCGAGCCTGCAACCCAGACATGTGCCCTCGACCGGAATCGAACCCAGGACCCTTTCGTCCACAGGCCGATGCTTTATCCACTGAGTCAAACAGGCTAGGGCGGGGTCTCCTCATTCAACCTCTATGGAGGTACCGACTCCCACTGTCCGAGCAGCATTGGGGATCTCTGGTCTCCTTCCTCCCAGAAGGCCCGGACTTTCCTGCTCATCAGCCAACTGCCAGCCTGCAGCCGGCCCAGCCCACCAGGGTCCCCAGGAGACCACCTCTGTCTGCCCACAAAGGCCGCCTTCACGCCTCCCCGTCTGACAGCCGGGGCTTGCCTGTATTTACATAACTAAACTCTCCAGTGATTCCCTCTGGACAAAGAAAGCTTGGTCCGGGGCCTCCTTTGTGTCTGTTTGGGCGGAGAAGGGGCAGCAGCCTCTGGCCTTCCCCAATGTGGGGTCTGAATGGGGGGGGTCTGGTCGGCTGGCGCCATTGTGGCATCAGCATCGGCAGCAGGATCCTCCTTTGTTTTTGCACAGAGCGACCTTTTGAGGAGCCTCTCCATCTCTTTCACTGTCTTTGCTGGTATATTTCACCCGGCAGTTAACACCAGGCAGATTTTCCCATTCTCACCGCGTCTTACAGAGCCCTAGTGCCCGGGCCATGCACGGGTCATTCTTCACACTCTAGTGATTATTCAAGTGCATGTTGGGTCTGCTTTCTAGTAGTTTTTGAGCCAGTTCACAAAACCCTTCACTGTTTTCGAACCTTAATACAGTTGAAAACTTCTAGAAGGGCATTGCCCAAGGAACCCCATTGTCTTGAGAAATGTGAATGGGTAGCTTCGGAAAAAACACCCTTGTTCACATGAGTTGGGTTAACACTGCAGGCCATGTCCTCCCTCTGTGGGAGGGGTCTGGCACACTAAAGGCACTGACAAGTCCTGCTTATGAGGCTGAAGCAATGTGGTTGCAAACTATGCAGACCTTTCCCAGAGCAGCGGCAAGAGGGGCCCAGGGTGAGCTCTCATTAGGGCTGCATATGACCTGTGAAAGGTGAGGAGAGAAAACGAGGAGATAACGGAGCAGGTGCAACTTAGCGCCCCCCCCCCCGCCCCCCTTAAATGAATGTAAGAAAAATCTAACGGCATTTACACTCACTTTCTGTAGATCTATTTTGCAACCCAGTCAGTATTTTGTGTTGCATTTTTTTCGAAGGTTTTTACTATATTTGTCCATTCTTCATTTTCCCTGTATTTCATTTTTGGTGTTTTTGGCACTTGCTGATTATCAGGTGGAGACTTGGTCTCTCTGGAACACTTCAAACCTTTTTTGGGTGTGTGTGTGTGTGTGTGTGTGTGTGTGAGAGAGAGATTATTTCTTTTAAAAATGGAAATATTTATTGTTTTGTACTAGGAAACTTTCTAGGAATAGGTTTCTGTGTTTCTGCAAATACATGCTGTTTAGTACATGCGTCCTTCTTCCATTTCAGCTGTGCTCAGAGACCCTCAGCCCTGTCCTAGTCCTTTCAGTGTAGTTTATCCAGGGCGCACACATACGGAGCTCACGGAGTCTAATCTGCCGCCATCAGTGGTGAAGGTGATGGCTGGGAAGTCCATGGGGCTTGGCTAACTCCATTAGGTGGCATTACAGTAGCCCATGACTCGTCTGTCCCCGCAGCGTGATGCAGACCCTCGGCCTTCAGTCCTTCAGCTGTTGTGCGTGTGTGTTTCCTATGAACGGGCTCCTGTGGAGAAGGAGGGCGGTGTTTTCCGTGTTTATTCTCCCGGTTATCTTCTGAGCGGCTGTGCACATCTGTGGGCCCAGGAGGCCTGGCGCTGGCCCAGGGGCAGAACAGAGCGGGGGTGGGACTGGTGCTTGCGTCCTCTGCGCAGGGCGGCAGGAAGTCAGCTCAGGAGCGTTCAGACCACCGAACAGCTGCAGGAAACAATTCTTGAAGCAGCTGCAGCGGTGGGTCAGCCGTGCACACTTCCCTCAGAGAGTCGCCAGCTCTGAGTCACTTGTTTTCCACCTGAGCACCGGGTCTTCGGAGGATTGCAGTGGAGACATGTGGGTTGACTCTGGACCTTCCGCTGCTTAGACGGCCCTGGGGCCTGGAAGGTCCCGCTGAATCAGTGTGTCCGAGGACGAAAGGTGCCAGGACCAGCTGGTGGACGGGGCTGTCGGAATCACTGGGTTAGAATGAATGGATGGCATTTGCATCTCCCAGGTGTTCTCCTGGGACCCGTGTGCGCCCAGTTGCACACTCAATGTGCTGGGTGACCCCGGCATCCGCTTTACCTTGCTGGTCTCCTCCGGGGTTTCTGTGTAAAGGAGCTGAGGGGTGATGCTTGCTGCTTCTGAGTGGGCAGGTGCCTTATAGATTGCTTCCACTCTGTAGCTGCCTCTCATAATGCGTCTTAGGGTGACCACCCTAGAGTGGTTGTATTGTGGTATGGGAGGGTAGAGTCTGCCATTGTTACTGGTCAAGTCTAGGTTAGTATTTTTGTGTGTGTTAATCCTCACCAGAGGATATTTTTCCATTGATTTTTAAAAAATATATATTTCATTGATTTTTTACAGAGAGGAAGGGAGTGGGATAGAGAGTTAGAAACATCGATGAGAGAGAAACATCAATCAGCTGCCTCCTGCACACTCCCTACTGGGGATGTGCCCGCAACCAAGATACATGCCCTTGACCAGAATCGAACCTGGGACCCTTGAGTCCGCAGGCTGACGCTCTATCCACTGAGCCAAAACAGTTAGGGCTCCATTGATTTTTTAAGAGAGAGTGGAAGGGAGGGGGAGAGACAGAGAGAAACATCGATGTGAGGGAGACACATCCATTGGTTGCCTCCCACATATGCCCTGATCAGGCCTGGGGATTGAGCCTGCAACCCAGGTATGTGACCTTGACTGGAATCGAACCAGGGACCCTTCAGTCCACAAGCCGACGCTCCATCTACTGAGCAACTGGCCAGGGCAATCTAGGTCAAGTTTTGATGATGATTGATAGCATCGGGTGTGGGTTGGGTAAAGTTACAAAAATGCACTGATGGCCAGATCCAGGTCGGAATGAACTCTGCGTCTGCCCCTGCTGTCTCTGAAGCTTAACATCGCTTTAGTAAAATCACTGCTGCTGATTTTCTAGTAGCCTTTAGGTTTTTGGGAGGAAGCAGCAGAAAAGCATGGATTTATTGACTGTCAGATGATAGAGTACAATTTCTTAGAGAGCTAATAAAGTATAATTTCATGACATTGTAGATAGTGAAACTACTATGAACTGTAATAAAAGGGAGACAGTATTAATGAACATTGCTTTTTCACAACATTTGTTTTCACTTGGAATTTGGTCAGTAGACTGCCCCAAGACTTTCATAAGTAAGTAGACATTTTGGTAGATAAATAAGCAACCAAGCACACACACCATCTTTTCTACACTGTTCTGGGCTCACAGTAGACTCCCTTCTGTAGTACCGGAAAGATTCTTAGGGCACAGAAGTTTCCCACGGAGCAACAGTTCCAATTAGTGGATGGTGAATTATTTAGAAAATCATCATTAATAATCCATTTTTCTACCCATGGACCCTGGAACAGCATAGAATTAATTCATAACTCTTCTATGGGACAATCCCTCAAACACATGAAGATCGTTATCATGCTCTGCTAAGCCTCTTCTGAAATCTTTCCATTTTGTTTATAACCTGCCCAAATCTGAGAATAACTTGAAATATCTTATCAAGACAGCACATATCGCATGAGCAGTT